AAGGGTGGGGGCTTGTGAAAGGCCATGGACTCCCACTTCGTGACGCGGGTCCACGCCGCGAAGGCCATCCCGAGCTTGCCCACCGGGTTGGGCCCTCGACAACCACCAATGGAGACGATGCAGCCCTCGTGCGCCGCGATGCCTTGCGACTTGTGGATGGCGAGCGCCCGCGCCAGGCGCAAGGGCATGCCGGCGCGAGTCAGCGACTGCAAGGTCTTGTGCCGCACCTCTGCGCAGGGGGCCGGCACCCAGGTCCTTGGGAGATTGTCGAAGCAAGCGGGGCCCTCGTCCGCGGGGAAATGCACGACCACGAAGTCAGGAACTGGGCAAGCTGGCTCCCCCCGGGGAAACGCTCCGAGGGTGGAGGTGGGATGGCCGACCCCAGCGAGTGTACTCTGGTCAGTTCGCTGCCCCCCTGGGGAGGCGCGCGCGATGGCGACCACCACCCCCCGAGCCCCATTCATGAGCCCGAGGGGCACAGTGGGGGCGCCCCGCAAATAATTTTGCGACAACATCACCCGCGCCCCCACGCACAGGCGGAGTGCCCGGCGGAGTTGCCGGAAGTCATCGGCACTCCTGTGTAATCCGCGCGGGTCGTTGTGTCCTGCCTCTGTCCTCGCGACGACGCCCCCCGCGCTGGCAATGCCTGGCGCGCCGTGAAGGGGTGCCCTGGCTGCCAATTGCTTACCGTTGATCTTCCCGACAGCTTGGTTCTCCGGCACGAGAACCAATCCCTCGCGGACGAGAGACTCGCCGCCCTGCCACGCGCACGGGTTGGCAGACTGCAGGTCCGAGCCATCCATCGTGTCCAACTCGTGGGTCTTCCACAGAGCGTAATCCTCCGTTGTAATCGCCGCATCTCTGAGTCTCATAGTCGACTCTTTGAATGCATCGACGCCCTTCTGGCGGTGGATACGACGCAAACGTAAGACGTCCTCAAATTCGGCGAAGGTCTTCTGGCCGGCCAGCGCCACGGCTTGAACAGTCGGGCCGCCCGCGCCCACGCGAGGCATGCCCGGGAGCAAGCTAGTGGCCAGCACTGGCGGCAGTTGTGCGAAGTCGCCCATGAGAACGACGCCGATGCCGCCGAACGGGCCCACGTCGTCCGGCGGTGGGCAGCGAAACCGCCTGCGCCACAGCACGCGCGCCACCTGCTGCATACGCCTGCTGACGATCTCGAAAGAGGCAGCCCCGCTCGTGGACACCTCGTCCACAACCAACAGTTCCACGTGCTCGACAGGTCGACGAGATCATCCAACTTGTCTCCAGCCAAGTCGTCACTCGCGGACTCGCGGTTCGTGTGGAAGATGCTGTCGATCGTGTTCGCTCCGCTCCCGAGGTTCGCCGCTGCCACGCCGGAGAAGGCCATGGTGAGGGCGCTGTCGTACGACCCGAACTTCTTGCGGACCTGGTTGATGGCGATCTGGGCAGTGCGCGTCTTCCCCGTGCCGGCCGTGCCCAGAACCATAAGTCTGAGCGCCGGTCCGATTTTCTGGACCCCGCCCGTTGCTGGCAAAGCCTGGCGCCAGGCCACCCGCTTGTCTGCCCATTCTGGCAACATCTGCGCGAAGAGTTTTTGAGCCGGGTCCAAAGCGTGCGTGGCCGCGTCGAAATCCGACGGAGCAGCCGCCATCTCGGACTGGAATGTCCTGCCGAGCTCCGCCAGGCCACCCCGCAACTTCGCAACGACACCCGATTCAGAGCACGTGAAGTCGGATCGCTCCAAGGGGCGAGCAGGTAGAGTGGCTGACCAGCCAACTGTGGCGGCGCTGACAATGTCTGGCGCCAGCGGCTGCCAAGCGATGCACATGCAATCCACTCCGCTCGGGTTGACGCGGTGGCCCGCCAGTGCCTCTTCTTCCTCCTTTGTGTCTGCGTCCACGGCGTCGGGGTAAGCAATGTCGATCTCCGTCGCCAACGTTCTGCCGAGTGCGCTCTCCGTTTGTTCTGCCGTGACAGCTGCATTCTGCGGGATCTCGCCCACACTTGCCGCGTGCTCCAGCAAGATCGGCTTCTGCGGCCGTGGGCGCCCCCCCAGATCATCCACATTGTCGCCATCGCTGCCCGACGCCCCCCCGGGCACCTGGCGACCTGCCGCCAGAACTCGATTGAGCCAGCGCGCCAGTCGCTGTGCCAGAACTGGTTTCCGATCATCGATTCTCCCACCGAGCTTGAGGCCCGCGCGGCCGAGTATGCGAAGGATGGCCTGCAGCTTGTTCTTGGGGTGGGACTTGAAAGACTGCGGCAGAAAGCCGGCATCGGCGTCTCCGCGCTGCGCGTGGAGAGCGGAAATGTAGTTGTGGATGGAAGGCACGACAGGCACCGCGACCTCAGCCTCCAGCAGGGAATCGTGCAGTTCGCGGTGCGTCCACTTCAGATCTTTTCTGATGAAAGACACAATGGCCTCCTGGATCTTCATGTTTTCCTCCTCTTCCATCACAAACTCCTCGTCTCGCCTCTCCGCGCTGTCAGAGACTGTCCGGATCTCCGCCTTGCGCCGCGCCTCGGTCGCCTCCTCCCGGAGAAGAGCGGTTTCAGACACTGGCGCGGAAAAGTGACTTGCAGACAATTTTCACCCGGCGCCCCGGCCCAGCAACGATCAACGACGGACGACCCGACGACGACGACGACGCGAAAACGGCGCCGGAGGTCCAGTCATCTGCACTCGGCACCCCGGTCCAGGAACGACCAACGACCGACGACGACGAAGAGGACGACGACGCGAAAACTGCGCCGGAGGTCCAGACAATCGATCTGGCATATTTTTTCCCGTTGCGCCCAGCCATGGCGACCGGGCCCCTCCCCGCGGGCCAACTCCCAGTGTCTCAATCGGCCCTCCTCGGATCCTCCTGGTCCGCCGTGGCCATGTCCGCCCGCTGCTTCTGCTTCCAGTCCGCGTCGTGCTCCACGAATATGTACTTGACCAGGGCGAGAGCAGCTGCTACTCGGCAGGTCGACCGTTTTCTCTCTTCGGCCTGTGTGCGGCGCGCCATCCCTTGATGCCGCGCCTTCACGATGCGCGGAGGGCATGGCGCCGAGCGCAGACTCAAGCGCTCTGCGGCCTGGGCGGTCGCAAAGCGCTGCATCAGCTCGAACGTAGCCTCGTCGGTGAAACCGGCCAGGTCTTCGGCGTCCCGAAACGTTCCCGCGCACGTCTCGCCATGGTTGCAGTGCGCCAGGAGAGTCCAGATGCATGCGTCTCGCCACTGCGCATCAGTCGTCGCCTGACCGAACCTGCCCACAGGGTGGATGACGACGATGTCGGGCGCTGGCTTGAGGACCGCGCTGTTGCCGGAGCGGTTAAAGCAACGCCTGAATTCCCACCGCCCGAGCAACTCCAGGAAGGTCTGCCAGTTGCGCTCGACTTCGGCCTTCGAGCCTGCAAGAGTAGCGCTGTCAAGGACTGGCGCTCCCGCCCTGCGCAGTATGAACACCCACAATGGCTCCGCTGTCAACGGATGCCGCCTGGAGAGCACAGCATTCGACGGTAATTTCCATTCCCGCCGGCTCACGTAGTGCTCCGCCTGGGATTTCTCGAAGATACAAGCGCCCGGGTCATCTTCGGCCACGAGTTGTGTTATCGCCTTGGGTTGCCTGGTCTCGGCCCTGAGGAGCAGGCCCCTGAACTCCCGCGTGCGCATGAAGCGCGGAGCCCCGAAGATGAGGTGCATGCACTCGAGCTGGGACTTGATCTCGCTGATCGACTGGAGGTTGAACCACCGGAGCACGGCGGACCCGGTGCCTTGCTGGCACTCTCTGGCTTTCTCCATGCACATGGAGAAGCTGTGCTCCATGACCTTGATCAGCGCCCCCTGGCCGGACTTGGTCATGTGCTTGGTCATGTACTCGATGACCGCGTCTTTGGTCAACGTGGCCTGGAAGTCCATGTTGGAAAGCATGGCCAGCATGGCGATGGGGGCGAAATTGTTGAGGAAATGACAGTTCCGTGCCATGCATAGCCTGTGCAGATCGTGGCGGCGCGGGTCCGTCGCGACCGTCTCCGCGCCAGGGTCAATGAGCGCGCGAGGGAACAGCTTGTTGCAAGAGACGCGCTCCATGGTGGAATGCTCGTCGTCGACGTGCGCGTGCCGCTGGTCTTTGGCGGGTTGGCCCATGGCATAGGGCTTGTGCAAGTCGTGCATGTTCACCCACTCCGCCAGCGCCGCGACGAAGCGAAGTCTGGCTCTTGCTTGCCGAGCCTCCGAGCTGGCAATGCCTGGCTCGAGGAGCTCCGTCTGCAGAACGTCACGCGGCGCTCTGGAGCAGCCCTCCAGGATGTCGACCAGCTCGGCCCCGCAGCGTTCACCAGCAGCGCCGCCTGCATCGAGGCTACCCAACAGACAACGGGCATGGGCCTCGTACGAAATACTCTCCGGAGATCGAACCTGCTTCTCGCCGGCGGGCCCGAGCGCCTGACGCACGCCGACGGCGCCCGCCGAGGCGCCCGATGCGGCGCTGGCAAGGCCTGGCGCCGGGCTCCCGCCAGTTGGCATCGCCTCGGGCAGCCCGGGCGACATGGCTTTTGCCACGGTGTATTCGGTGTAGGCGCGGTCCCAGAACGCGGCCAGACGATCCGCGGCCTCTGCTTGCGGCGCGGCGCGTTGGCCCGGCACAGGCGCGTCAATCTCCACGGCCCCTGACTCGTCTCCTCGTTCACGTGGTACCTCGATCTTGTCGATGCGAGGTGCGCCGACCACCCAGAATGCCATGTGCGCGTGGATGATGCCCCCTTCGCTCCACTCGTACGTCACGTACCAGTCGTCGACCTGACCGAAATGGCGCAGGTCAGGATTGCCTCCCACGGTGATGTCCTCGCTCATGCGTGAACCCAACTCCGCCTGGATTTTCCGCAGTGCGTCGGCTTGCCCAGGTACAGAGTCGGACTGCAGCTGCTCCGTCAGCAACGCCGCGGTCAAGGCCGTAGCCATCTCCAGCTTGACGGCGCAGTACCACGCCACAGCACCCGGGTCCCGCACTGACAGCTGGTAGTACGTTTTTTTTCATGGCGGCCTCCCTGTCTGGAACGCGGGATTGTCGGCGTCACCGGAAGGGCATGCCTTCAACAGCGTGGCGTGTAGTTGTGCCCACTTGTACACGCTGCAGGTCAGCGTACAAAAGCCGGACGGGATCCTGCCGGCGCCGCCGTTCATCCCGAAGTCGGCCGTCTCCGCTTCGATCTGGTGAACTATGGCCTCGAGTTCCTGGCGCATCTTGCGCCTCTCGCCGATGGATCCCGGGATCAAGTTCGTCACGGTCGACATCTGCTGCACCAGCTCGCGCCGTTCGCCTTTGTCCATCAACGATTCGAGCGTGTAGTCTTGGCACGCTTTCTTGGCGCAGAAAAATACCCGCTGGGCGCCCGCGACCATAACTCGGAGCATGGTGTCCAGGAGCCAGTAGCGAAACCTGGTGTGGCGCATGAACCGCCCGTCGTTCCACAGCATAGCGCACTGGCCCCACTCCTCGAATCGAAGCGCGCGGCGCAAGCCGCCCCTGTCGCCATGGTAGCCGCCGACCCCGTGCGAGAACAGTTTCGGGAAAGCTTTCGCTATGTACCCCGGCGCGTCCTCCCGGACGGCCTGCCTGGGCTCGTCCTCCACGTCGGGCGGGTCCACGCGCGGATACTTCAGCTTCCGACCGTGGCCGTGCGACGCGTCCTCTGCAGGCGGGTCCGCAGCGGGGCGCGCACTGGCAAAGCCTGGCGCCTCGTTTCGCCGTCCGGGGATCTCCTCGGCCGCGCCTGCGAGCGAGTGGACCACGTCTTCTCGCAGGCCCACGTCATCCCCCGCCTCGGCCGACGCGGTGGCTCCGGTGCGCACGACTTCGGGGTCCTCGCCGCACTCTTCCATCATCGCTGCATCCAGTTCCGCGCGGAACACATGGAGGTCCACCGGGCAGTCATGTGCGTCAAGGGAGCGGATGGCCCGAAGCGCGTCGGACGGTTCTCCCCCCTGCGGCAGACCCAGATCCAGGATGCCGCGCGCTGCCAGAGCCACCGCGATGATGTCTTGCGATAGAGACGTGGCCACGCGGTACACGTTCTGGCCAAACACCTCGGCGACGAGGCGCCGAGCCCGCCCCCGCGCGTCATAACCTGGTGCGTCGGTAGAGTCTGGCTCCGCGTCAACGGGCTCCCCTTCCAGAAGGAGTTCGCGGACTCGCTTGCCGATGGCATGCCCGAAATCACCTGCCGCGGCCTCTGAGACGGCGAGCCCCATCCACCGTTCGAAACACGTTGGAGTGACGGGCGGGACCTTCGCGGAGTCGTCGTCGGCCTCCCGGGTGGCGCCCACCTGCGCGTCGTCTCCGGCCCACGCATCCGCGGCGTCGCCTCGCCACTCCGCGTTCGCGCAGTGCGGGTTGTTGGCCTTGAGCCACAGGAAAGCGGCTTTGAGTTTGCGCGCGCCCACCTTGAACAACGCGCGCCCACCCGCCTTACCCTTGTACTTGCGAGGGCGAACGTGCACCACGGGCATGTCGGCGGGCATGATTGGCAGACTGGTCAGAAACTTGGTCATCTGCCGGAAATTGCAGATGTGGCCGACGTGAGCCAATTGCCCGGTGCGAGGAATGGTATGCACCTGGACGAGCGGGTGGACCAAACCCAGCACAATTTCCTCGTGGTCCGTGAGCGCCGCCACCGGGTGCGCGAACTCGTGCACGCTGAACCCGAGCATTCTGGAGCACGCACTCCCGTCGCTGGCAAGGCCTGGCGGAGAGGCACCCTCAAATCGCTCGTGCGCGATGGCAGGGCCGTCGGGCGTAGCCGAGCACGACACAGGATCCACGACGTAGTCGCACAGGCGCATCTCTTCTTCAGGTGCCGGAAGGACGTGGTCTTCATTGAGATGGGCATGGCAGCCAGCGCATATCGTCATCACCCGTTTCCCATCAGGTTCGTGCACACGGCGGGCGATAGCCTCGTGCTCCGCGTTGGCTGCAAGGAAGTTGCGCGCTTCCTCCACAGACCCCGATGCCTCCAGGCGCCACTGGTTGACTGCCTCCTTTTTACGGGCTCTCGTGATGACGCTCGCGGACGAGTCGAACCACGGAGCCTGGGGAGACCGCAAGCCCTGCTGCGTGCGCGAGAACTCATAGCCGGCGGGTAAGTCGCACCAGGCCCGCCAACACACCACGCAAGTGGCCCACTGCACCTCCTCGAGGCGCCCGCACATCTCGGATGTGAGCCTGCGAGCGGGCTCCTGGTCCAGCCCGGCGTAAGAAGGCGGCGAGTGCTCTGGGCCGTCGCGCTGGCAAAGCCTGGCCGACTGTTCGGCTGCTTGTTTCCAGGCGCTTCCCCTGCCCTGGGCCTCTGCGCGATCCGCTCTGGCGCTGGTTGGCACGGCACGGCGCTCGGCTCTCCGGGCTCTCTGGGCCTTGACCTTGGTATATTGGGCATCTCTTGTTCCGAAGTCCTCCCCGTGCCGTTTAGCTTTTGAGCTACATGGGGCTCGCGGTGCAGGTGGACTTCCAGGTTCTGCTCGAAGACGTGGTCGCCTCGGTTGCCCTGCGAGGTCTTGGAGCTCTTGTCCACGACCTGAGGGTCACCCTCGTAAGATTCCCAGGGAACCCCATATGGCCTCCACCATGGTTCAAGATAACCGGAGATGGCTCAAGATGGCCCCTCCCAAGGAGGCCCCCGAAGACCCCCGAAATCCCAAATTGCCAACCCAAACGCCGAGTGGCCACAAACATCTTTGGAAGCACAGAGACCTTCAGCACGCCTGGTGCTGCCAGCAAGTTCGTCTTGAACTCCTCCCGAGTCAGCAGGCGCTGAGGATGGAGTTCCACCATGCCCGAAAAGGAAGTGCCCTTGTACTCGTATCGTTGCGCGAGTCTGCGCGAGCCCGCGTAGGGTGCCTCTGTCCCTGGGGCTGGCAAGGCCTGGCCCTGGGACACAGGCAGCGCATGTCTGAGCATGCGGGCGGCGGCGGCCACGGCCGCGGGACCGGCCAAAGGTCCGCGGGAACTCTCCGAACACAGAGCCGTGATGGGTTGCGGTCTGACGGCGTCAACGCCGGCACAGCATACAGCACGGCATGATGATGCAACAAGGCCCCGGGAACGATTCAGGAGTTCCCAAGGGAACCTGCAGGGACGCACCGACGCCGACTCCAACAGCGACGGCGAACGACGACTCCAGGGGCCCGCGCCGGCATCCTGTCGGCGTATCCCTTTTTATGTCGACGGCCCGACTCCAGGGGCCGAGACGCACCAGTTTTTCGATTCGCTTCCAGCCGCGGCGGCGAGCAGGGCCTCCGAGGGCCAGGAAACCTCGACCGAACCTCGGCGCCAACCTCAAAACGGAACCGGAACCCCTCCCAGGGGCCCGCGCCGGCGTCCTGTCGGCGTATCCCTTTTTATGTAGACGGCCGAATTCCACGGGCCCAGACGCCTCAGTTTTTCGATTCGCTTCCAGCCGCGGCGGCGAGGCCGCGCGGCCGCCCGAAGGAACGGGGCGCGCTCGGAGAGAGCGGCCGGCAAAGCCTGGCGCGCTCGGAGAGAGCGGCTGGTGGGTGCACGGGGCCTCGCCCGCACGCACGGCACGCACGAACACGAAACCGAAATCGATTTCCCGGTTGGGGGGTTCTCCGTCCCACTTCGATCTCACCCCCCAATCTTCGATCACAGTCGATCTCACAATCGACGTCGTCATCATCATCATCATCATCATCGTCATCAACATCAACATCATCATCGTCATCATCATCATCATCATCATCGCCATCATCAACATCGTCATCATCACCATCATCATCATCATCATCATCACCATCATCATCATCAACGTCATCGGGACACCGACGGGACACCACCGGGACACCGGCGGGACACCGCGCGGCCCCGCGCCCCGGTGGAGAATCATTTGGTGCGGCGGCCGCGCCTCAGCCACAGAGGACACCACCGGGACACCGGCGGGACACCGCGCGGCCCCGCGCCCCGGTGGAGAATCATTTGGTCTGGCCGCGCCTCAGCCACAGGAGACTTTCCTCTCGCCCGCCCACGCAGCTTCGCCTCGCCCGCACGCGCGGCACGCACGAACACGAAACCGAAATCGATTTCCCGGTAGGGGGGCTCTCCGTTCCACTTCGATCTCACCCCCCAACCTCCGATGATTCGGATGTCGCCACCTACCCAGGCATCCGACGTCTTGACAAAAATCAAGACTGATTTTTGTTCGCTGGTTTCGACCTCCAGGGGCCGTTGCCCAGCCCCGAGGCCGTCAAAAAGAGACCCAGGACGGAGAGACGGCCCTGGTGAGCGGGTTGGGGCTTCTGGGGACCCCGCGTTGAAAAAACAAGACGTCGGATGTCGTCCCATCTCTCCTCCTCCTCCTCCTCCTCCTCCTTTTCTCCGCCTCCTTTTCTCCTCCTCCTCCTCCTCCTCCTCCTCCTCCTCCTCCTCCTCCTCCTCCTCCTCCTCCTCCTCCTCCTCCTCCTCCTCCTCCTCCTCCTCCTCCTCCTCCTCTTCCTCCCAATGGGGTGTCGCCCCCCCGGCGCGCCAGACGGTTGGGACACGTGGAACATGTTCCGCATGCTTTGCGACCAGAACCCGCGCCTGCAGGTGGCCCTCCAGCTCACGGACGGCAGTTGGCGGCGCCGGCCAAGCGCTGGCCAGGGCCGCTTGCGAGCCGATTCGATGCGGGCCGCGATTCCGTTTCCGATCCGATGTTCAGATCGGTACGATCGAGGTGTATACGGAAAAAATGTGTACGGCGACCGACAGCAGTTCTTGTCCATTTTGCGCAAGGTTGGCTGTCGGCGTTGTCGTGGACGTTGTCCATGTGAGTCGGGGCCGGCGATCCGATTTCGATTCGGCTCAGGGCCATCCGCTGGCGATTTGATCCGTTTCCGATCCGATCCGATGTGGCGGTTCGATCCGTCTCAAGCTTGCCAGCGCTGGAGGGCGCCAACTACACAGCTACACCGATCCTGGCCTGGCCGACACTGGCCCATGATTGGCATACAAGCCATCCTGGCCAAGCTAGGAGGACAGTTGCACCGATCTTGGGGCCAGGATGGGCCTGGCCTGGATCGGTGTAGGTGTGTAGTTCGTTGGCGTCCTCCCAACCAGCGTAGCGCCAACATTATGAGGCGCGTCCTAGCTTCAGCCCCCGCGTCTCGAGTTCGAGGCATGCCATGCTTTCGCTATTCTACATCCTGGGTTCTGCTCGTCGTCACACCGGCTGTCAACTATCCGCTGTCCTCGGTCTCCTATCCTGTGTTCGCTGCTCCCCGAGCGCGAAACGAAAAAAACCCATGTAATAATTCTTGACGCATCGCGTATCCCCACCAGTTTCTCCCCGCCGTTCCTGTGCCGTCCCAGGGCCGGTCGCCGCGCTCGTCCCCACCTGTCGGGATGCTCGGCCCGATCACCTGGTCTCGCTGTTCGCGTCCCCGCTTGTGGCCGTCTGAAGCTTGGCGCCCAAAGGGCGACTAATGTGGGTCATTTTGTCCCTTGTATGTGCACTCGCCGCTGCGGTTAACTATCTTAGTTCAGCGCCCCGAACGTTGCCCCGCTTCTTGACCTTCGCCCTGGAACCGCCGACCAAGAAGTATCCCCACCAGCTTTTCGTGCTCAGTAGTTCCGCCTGCCGTACCTCTGCCTCTTGTTTTCCCCGCCGACCCCACCTTCCGCGGTGGTGTCCGTGGGCTTCGCGTTGAGTGGTTCAGCCTTTCAGCGCCGTCGGCCCTTGTTTTCCACAGCCTGCTGTCGGCATGGGGAGCTGCTCGGAGCTTGGCGCCGCCAAGGCGACTTCCTCCGTTGCACTCGCACTGCTGGCCGCCTGCTCACTCTGGAGTGGCCGGCGCCTAGGTGCGTCTGCTTGCGAATGTGGAGCATTTTGCGCAGTGCATGTGCACCGCACGCTTCGCGTGCAATTCGCCTTGTTCCGTAGTCCCGGACATCGCATGTTGCCGCCAGACCGTGGTCGCGCGGCCGCCGACCAAAAAAACGTATCCCCACCAGCCCGTCGCCATTTTGGTTCAAGCCTTGGCTCAAGGCCAAGCCGCGCGCTCGGGGACGCAGCCTGGGGGCTGCGGGGCGCCGGGAGGATGGCTGCGGCGGTGCCTGGGGCTGCCGAAGCTATGGCGGCCAGCGGCGCCGGCTCTGGTGCTGCTCAGAGAGAGGTTGGATGCGAAGTCGGAGCCCACCATCAGTGGCCTGGCCACGCAGGCCTCGATTAGGGTCAGGCCTACGGCGCGGCTGCTGCGGCGGCGGCGGGTGCCGGAGCGGCGGCGGCTTTCGGCGCCTGGACCGGGCGCGCGGCGTGGCGGCGCTGGCAGCGCCACCGAGCCTCCCTTTCCGCTCGGGTGAAGCTGGCGCACACGGTGGAAGAGCTGGCGTCGGCGCAGCGGCTGCTCAGTGCCCTCGGCGTCGGTGCGGAAAAAGCAGACTGCTGGGGAGCTGGCCATCCTTTGCGAGCACCGCCTGCATGGGTCGCCTGCCAAGCTGCAGGGATAAATGCCCCCACGCTGCGGGCCGCCGCACGCGTTGCGGGCTGGAGCCGAGCGGAGTGGCGTGACACTGCCGACCGATGGGGCGCTGCGCGGCACCTGAGGTTGGGGGGCCTCGAAGACGGGGACCTCGGGCGTGCCAGCACGGCGGAGCTCCGGAGGATGCGGTTCGCTCACCCAGATGACGTTCCACTACATGGCCGCCCTGGTGCAGGAGCAGACGCGCAGGACGGCGCCGAGCTGCAAGCGCCGCCATCCCTTGGCATGCCTGGAGACTTTGCGGGCTGTGGCGCGGCCGTGGTCCTGTTCCTGCAAGCCGCTTGGCGGAGGTGCGCTCACAGGCGGCAGCGCCATGAACATCCCGACGCTGTGCCTGCGGATCGTCGTGCCGACAGCCTGGCCGCAGCAGCAGCAGTGCCAGCACCAGCAGCAGTCGGCCAACGCCCTCCTGGGGACGCCACGACTGGCGCCGCCATCGTGCTCGCAAACGCGCCCTGGGCCGAGCTCGGGGACAGCGCGGCGGAAGCGAATCCCTTGGGGGACGAGGGGGGCGCAAGCCGAGGAAAGAGGGGCGAGGGCGACAATCTGGAGGCCATCCGAGAGGCGCAGAGGGAGGGCGAGTCTCTCACCACGCGAGACCTCGCTGATTGCGCACACATGGTCGCTGCCTGCCTGCCGCTGGCCCCAGAAGTTCGGGGTGCACCGCGGATGGACCGCGGGAGTCGCCCCAGGCAGGACGGCCCGCCACCGGCGCCGCAGGCCGCGCCCTACTGCAGATACGGCTACGGCTGCCCCTGGCGCGCCCTCGGTCGCTGCCGCTTCACGCATCTCCCAGCCAGCCGGCCGATGTCTGCAGGAGCGTCGCTGCTGGACGCGCGGACGCTGCCTCAGGGCTCTCGCGGCTGGGGGCTGTGCCAGCTCTTTGCCGATTGGACCTGCTGGCGCCAGTGCGAGACGGTCATCGTCCACGACCCGTCCCTAGCACCGGTTTGCCACGTCCCAGACCCCCACTCGGCGCGGTCCTCCCGGGACGACGCGAGCTTCGAGGCCATGGTGGCTATCGCGGGCCTGGGCAGTGTCACCAACGTGGCTTTACTCGAGGAGCTCATTGCCGTTCTCGACGCGGCGGTTCCACGACTCCGAAGCGTTTTTTTGTGGACCCGCGGCGAGCTCCGCACTGGTCTTCCCGCTGGCGCTCTTCTCGTCGAGTGGCTCCGCGAGGCCCGGGACAAATGGGCTGGCCAGTCCGTGGAGCTCGAGTGCGAGTTCGACCCCCGCGTGCACGCGCGGCGCGCGGTGCTGCAGGGACCCCGCATGGCGATCGCGATCTCCTTGGAGTGGGGCCTCGGCATCTACATCGACGCACCTGGCAGCGCGGCGCTCGCGCCTGACGCCCGCTAGGTCAAGCGCGCAGAGATGCTCGTGCTTCGCCGCGACTGCCAGTGGAGCTACGACGACTACGAT